AAAAAAAAATGACACCCCAAGATCTCCACCACCCCTATGCCCTACCCCCAAAATGCTAGACTGGGTTTACAGAGACCTTCTCTTCATGGGGACTTCTCAGCTGCTGCAGGAGCTCCCAGGCTCCATTCACAGCTGCCACCAGAGAAGCACATTGTCCCTGTCCCTACTGCGCTCTGGCTTGGTCCTGCTTAGCCCCGGGAGAGGCAGGTCTCCAGGTCAGGATACAGGCGGCTACTCTCCAGCATGATGTTGAGCCCACCTTGGTGGCTGGAGGAGGCATGATTTCCAGAAGTCATCAACCAGGCATCCTGCTTGCTTGGGCTCCTCTGATTAAGCACGGTGGGACACCCCCACCACAGTGCCTGGGGCCAACTGTTCCCCCCCAGCACCCCCCCAGGCAACCTCAGCACTGGACAGACCCAAGCCAGCCCCTCTGGCACATCATCCTCCCATCGCAGCCCTGTTCAGGTACCTGGCTGAGCCCACACCAGCTCAGTGCACCCATGAGCCTGATGCACCCAAGTGCCACAACTGCCTCCCACTTACTTTTCAGTCCGGGACTGGGGGTTTTCTCTACGTACTGCACAGGGCCGCAGGCGCTCTCCCCGCTCCGGCTGTCATCCAGCTGCTGCTCTACCTGCTGCCAGGCTGGAAACAGGCAGGGCACAGGTTTGGGATAGGGATTTCCCAGCCCAGGGGTGGAGGGCTGCAGGAGCTTATGCAAAGGAGGGCAACTGTCCAGGCTGGGGACCCCATCCCTCACTGAGGTCCCCAGCATGGTGCTGCTGCCTCAAGAAGACCCCCTACATCCTCCAGCCCCCCTCTCCCCCCCAACTGGACCCAATGGCAAGTGGGTGCCCACACCCAAGGACCCTCTACTCTCACCTTCGTAGATGAAGCGGACATTCTCCTCGTGGGCCAGCGTGTAGCTCTCCTCGGGGGCCAAGACATGCCGCAGAACCTGCGGCCTCTTCCCGTTCACTCTGTTGAAGACAAGTTTCTGGGCCGGGCTGCTGAGGGAAGGCAGGGACAGGTGAGGGGGGAAGCAGGCAGCTCTTCCCACCACAGTTTGGAACAAGGACAGGGGTTGTTTGGATACCCCAGGCTGCCCCACAGTATGCACGGTTGCAGCCAGCCATGCTCAGTGCTGTCCCCAAGGGAGGGGACAAAAGGGACCCAGACCCCTTGGAGAAGGGGGTCCCTGCACAGAGAAGGGTGAAAGCAAGGGGAGCTCCCCAGGGAAAAAGCACATGCTGCCCATCTCCCACCCATCCTCCAGCCCTGGCACCAAGTGTAGTCCCTAAAATAAAAATATTTGTCACCAAAATTGCTGAAATACCAGGAAAATGGAAGTGAAATCATTCGGTGCTGGGCAGGGGGATGTGCCATTGTGCAGTTCTCTGCACACCAAGCACCCCGGTTCTCTGGAGCAGCCCCAGCCCCCAGTACATCCCCAAGGAGCCCTAGGGCTGGGATGAAACCCTCTGCCAAGCGGGAACAGGTTAGGCTTCCTCAGAGCTGGGATGAGGAAAGCAGGGCACTTAACACTGCCCCAGCCTGGAAAGAGCAAAATTGGGCAGATCCAAGGGAAAGGTTTGGGATGGGACTTGTGGGCACATTCTGTGCAGAACCTCAGTATTTTGGCTTTTCTGCCCAGCTTTAGAGTGGGGACATGTCTGCAACAGCCACGTTTCTCATGGTACAAAGTCTAAGAGGCCCTGGGAGCGCAGACGTTACGGTTTACGGGGCAGGCGAGAGCGAGAACAGGCAGCCCCTGCCCAATGTGCGGGCAGAGCATGGGGCAGGGTAATGCACCCCAACCCGCACTTGGGGAGCGCGGGTCAGGCACCCCTGCGTGCCGCAGCCACGGCCCGACCAACCTGCCTGGGGTAAGCGGTTGGTTAGTGGGAGCTGCCAGGAAGGGGGCAGGT